CCTGATCAGTCAATTGACAGTTGTCATGCAGCCTCATTCGATCTGTGTTGCGTCACACACCGCCTCCTGGGACGACAGACAGCATGCCGACTCCTGCACTCCTCATTGCCAGGAGGTTGTGTCCGCACTGCTGTGCGACCACCTCCGAATCGACCTTCATCCAGATCACCCTGGCCTTGAGACTGTGAAAAGGGGGTGCTGACATCAGCTCGGGTAGCCAACCGAGGCCACCTTGATTGGGATTCTTTTTCTGCTCTCACTTCGACGTGCGAGATTGCCGACATCGCACGGCAATCTAGACGGAAGAATGGAGGTGGTCAGCAATTGGCGCTTGTTCCTGTGGTCATTTCCCGATGATTGAACGGCGCGGACGCGGACGGACGAACACAGATGTCTGCTTGAAGCCATTTACAGATGGCATGAATTCGCTAGACACCATTCATTTACCCTGTTTGCTAGACGTATGCTAACCGTTTTTTCGAGGAAGACACCCCCTGAGCCAAAGTGCACGTTTTTACACCAGTCGCTTGCCCGTGCGGTATGGGTACTGTGGTCAGGCACCAGCGAAGTGGCCCGATTGGTGCAGCCTGACGAACGTGACGGATCCCAGCGGATACGGAAATTCATGCAGCTTCATTCATCGAACCGCCGTCCCCATCACGGTCCATCTCACGAAACCCATCTTGTCGCAACCGTCCATGCTACTCTTTGCTACATGCTCAAACGCTACGACCCAGCATCCTTTTTTTTTTTTTTTTTTTTTTTTTTTTGGGCGCAATCTAGAGGCTCCCCAAGGCGCGAATTGGTGAGACTGATTTAGTGGGTGCCGTGTGTAAGCGCGATAGGCCGTATCTCGAGTCTACTATCGGTTTGCAAGTACAGCAACCAGTGTCAAGAGGTGCTTTTCTTGGATGAGGCTGCAGTGTTGGCCATCGGATCCACAGGTCCTGGAGTTTGCGATGTTCTCTCGTCATCGCCTTCCGAGACATTGGGTGTCAAAGCTCACTTCAACATCAACCCCATGAGCTGGTAGTGCCTAGACATCGCTTTGACTGCTAGGTAAGGTGACTGACATGTCATCCGATTGTAAGACCATTCTCAATCAGCCTCAGCCTACACTTTGGCAATGGAAGAAGGAACCCTCGTGCTGTTCCTGTTGTTGTTGTTGTTCTCCTCGTTACTTTTTGTCCGGATCCGAACGGTTTTTCATGGCGTCCTTGACCAGGCGTGCATACACACATCAGCTTTCCCCTCCCCAGGAGGATAGCTCCGGAGAGCAACAATTGGTTATCAGCAGAGGCTGAGGATGGCTACGGCCAAGACTGCCTGGCGGCTGCACTGTTGCGATGCCGCCGCAAGGGTCAAGTGATCGTAAAGCATCGCGGCGATCGGGCTATGTGAGTAAACCAAGGATGACCTTGCTACACCTCTCTGCCCAGGCCTTTACCACTCCTCGCTCGTGGAATCCCCCAGCCATTTTCTCCAAGGCTTTTCTCAATACAGGCGAAGAACATCTCTTACCAGCCGCCTCTGCAGCAGAGTCTTCATCATTTCATCGGGGCATATCCACCATGCACTCAGAGTTTGCCCAACCCCGCGTCGGTCACGAGGGCTCAAGTGGTCTTGCGACAAAATGGCAACTCACAAATAATTGCCTCAATTCCGTTTCACTCTCATCCATGTTCTCGACGCTCGGCATTTTTCGTGCAGAAGAGGCTTGAAATCTACCGCTGTCTGAGTTCTCGTTGGGACCATGAACACTAGGTATTGCGTCATAGAACCTTCTTAGACAAGGAAGCATACTCAACGGCACACTGCTGAGGCATGAAATAAACCAGGCCCATTGGATCTGCTTGACTCGACTTGCAACCTCTATCGCATTTGGATCAACCTGATTGAAGGGCGTCTGTAAGAGAAGAGAAGATCATATCTTGATCTGGTAATCTTCCCAGATCACCGCCTAAGCGGGAACAGGAGGACCCTTGATACCCTGAAGCTAGCGGGTGGCCGTGCGGTAATCAGTTATGCTGGCGCATCGAGTAGCATGATTGCGCCTGTCATGCGATAGATACCGTGCTCGGCCTCGTCTCATCTCGGTCAACTTTAGACGTGTACCCAACCTCGATCAGACGGCCATGGTAGACAGAGCGAGCATCCTACCCCTCTCAGCGCCTCCTTCAGGATTTTCGATTTGGGATACCATTTGGAACCTGCCCCCCAACCTGAGGTGCATGGCCAGGGTAGACGTGTCAAACGTGGCGCGCTAGCGGGTGGCTCTTCTCAGCCTCAACCACGATCATCCTGGGCGGATCTCTGTTCCAATAACCTGTTTCCACACCAGAACCACCAGCCTTCTCGTGGCCTCAGCATCTGACCTTGTCTCAGCTGGGGCATGTTTCATTTATTTAACCCCACGCTTTCGGATCCTCACCACCAAACCTTTCGACCCCGACGTCATCTGAACAGCCCCTCATTGCCGGAAAGCCCGGGGACACGGTCAAGCTAACAAGCCCCTCCCGGGGACAACACTGACGTGCATGAGATCTACAACAGGGACACCGCGGCTCTCCGAGAGTATCTCAAGATTTTGAATGCTCTATCCAGCCATTCGTATCCACCGATCTTTCACCGTTTGCCTGCTGCACGCACAGTTTGTTTCGGACGACAGCGCTTCCCTGTCGAACCTGTCGAGTCCAGATGTCCACGAGATAATGCTTGTCCCTGTCAAAAACCATGTCAGTGGCTGGGGTGGTGAGAGAGAACCAAGGCCGAACGAACTCGAACTGTTGGTCGACGCTGGTCGCTACTGAAAGGGGGCTGAGGCAAGGGCCAGGAGGCTTTGAGAGGTAGACCCGGAGGGGGAGGGGATATAATACAGCCTTTGAGCCCAGCAATACATTCCTCGCTGATGGTTCTACTCCTATATCAGCACCGTGGGTAAAGAACACCAGACGTGGAAGTTGTACCTGAAAATCGAGGTGATCTTCGCTGGCCTCCCGTCGGATCTCTCCCCAATCCCTTTGTCTTTCAACACGGATCCCCCTCCATCTCTTGTTCAACTTACACCCAACTCGAAATACATCATGGCGGACCAGAATCCGATCCCAGTTCCCGGCACAGCGCAACACTATCCTCCGCCGGATGCGCCTGCTGTGTTGGAGTCTAATGTGTATTCTGACGCAGAGCCGTCCCGCAACCCTCATCTCCGCCGCGGTACGATGCGCAGCAACGGAAGTGTCTCTTCGAGGCGCGGCCCCAACACACCTGGCGCCGCGTTCCGCCGTGCCTCTTCTGAAGAGCCCATCAATCAGTCACAACGCGGTCCCGGCGGCGTCCGTTACGAGACGGACGAAGAGTATAGCGACCAGTACTGGGACCAGTATGGAAGCCCGCGTCACCCTGACTTCCAGGATCCTCCTTACCGGCCTGGCACTCGCCAGGGCCCCAGCCACAGCCGCTCGCAGTCCCGAGCTCGCCCGCCTCGCGCCCATCTTAACAGGCCTTTCAACTACGAGGCGCAGAATGAGAAGGGTGAGGCAACATATGTAGACGAAGGACACGAAGGCTCATTCCTCGAGGCCCGCCCGCGGTCGTCGCGCCGCCGCAACGATGAGGAGATGGGTGGCTTCGCACCGAGATATGTCGCCACCAACGACAGCGCGCGGCGCATCGACTGGAGCAGCCTGACGCGGGACGAGCGCGCCGAGGTGATGCGTCTGCCCTGGACGCAGTGGATGAACAGCGAGGTCAAGAACCACTTTGTGGCCTCGATGGGCGAGTTTGTCGGGACGACCATGTTCCTCTTCTTCGCCTTCGCCGGTACCGAGGTGGCCAACATTCAGTCCAACGTCACCGACTCGGGCGGCAGCGACAGCAACACGACGACGGGCGAGACGACGGGCTTTGACGTCGGCGTGCTCATGTACATTTCGGTGGCGTTCGGCTTCTCCCTCATGGTCAACGTGTGGATCTTCTTCCGCATCAGCGGCGGCCTGTTCAACCCGGCCGTGACGCTGGCTATGCTGCTCGTGCGCGCCATCACGCCCGTCCGCGCGGCGTGCCTCTTCGTGGCGCAGATGCTGGGTGGCCTCATCTCGTCCGTCATGGTCCGCTACCTGTTTCCCGAGAACTTCAACGTCCGGACGACGCTCGGCGGCGGCGCCTCGCTCGTACAGGGCGTCTTCATCGAGGCCATCCTCACGGCCGAGCTCGTCTTCACCATCTTCATGCTCGCCAAGGAGAAGCACCGCGCCACCTTTATCGCGCCCGTCGGCATCGGCCTGGCGCTGTTCATTGCCGAGCTCGTGGGCGTGCAGTTTACGGGCGGCTCGCTCAACCCGGCGCGCAGCTTTGGGCCCTGCGTCGTCACGGCGACGTTTGACAAGGAGCACTGGATTTACTGTGAGTGGCGTCTCGAAAGAAACCAAAGGTTGTACGAAACGGAGAGCAGATGCTAACGCGAGCCAAAGGGGTGGGACCGCTGATTGGATCTCTGATCGCCGTCGTGTTCTACAAGTTTATCAAGATGCTCGAGTACGAAATGGTCAGCCCCGGCGCCGACGGCGACCCGACCAATGATCCGACCAAGAACCCCGAGAAGCGCGCCGAGGTGGCCTTTTCGCGCAGCCTGACGAATGCGGCCAAGGTGTGAACCGACGGATGAGTACGATGCATGTCGTCCAATGCATGATGAAGGGAGGAGGGGACCTCTTAATGAATGATGTGATGGTTTTGATGAGGGTTCCCACGAGTCACGAGAGGTATGAGGCGAACGAGAGTGAGCACGTCGCAAGACATGCGGCAGACACTGTTTGGTGGAGTTTTGAGAATTTTGCTTTCTGACTTTTCATACGATGGTAAATACGAAGGGCGTGAATGCAGGGTATATAAATAGAAGTCATAAATATCGTTGAATGCTGAAGGTTTTTTTTCGCCCATACCAAAACGCCCCATTCCCATGCACCTAATTCCATGCGCCACGTCCATACCAGGACGGGTCATCACAACCGGTTGCTCAGGTTCTCGAGCCACATCTTCTCCTCGGGCGTAATGTACATGTGCTCCGGAACGATGACCTCGCCAGCACGCAAGATGAGCTCAAACTCGCGCCCGTCATCGCTACCGCCGACCTCGGTCGTCTGCGACGTGCGCGTGCTCTGGGCTTCGAGGTCGCTGTGGTCGGGGACGCCGGCCTTGGCCTCGACGGCAGCAGCAGCAGCCGCGGATGAAGAGGCCGGCGGCGGCGGCGGCCCCGAGGCGCGGCGACGCGTCCAGGGGCGGACCTGGGCGTGCAGGTCCTCGGGCGTCCACCAGTACATGGGGAAACGGCGCTGGACATTGTTGACGAGCAGGGCGGTGACGAGCATGAGGGCGCAGCCGAGCATGACGACGGGGACGAGGAACCAGCCGAGGTCGAGGACGCTGTCGTCGACGACGGCGAGCAGGGCGGTGGCGCCGGCGGGCGGGTGGACCGTCTTGGTGAGGGCCATGAGGGCCGTGGCCGTGGCGCACGACAGGGCGCCGGCGACCCAGCGCACGTCGGCGAAGCGGGCGGGGCCGGCGAGGAGGAAGAGCTTGGCGATGGAGATGCCGGTCAGCGAGGCGAGGAGCTGGCCGAGGATGGCGTTGCGGGGCTGGGAGAGGGGGCTCTCGATCGAGTAGAACTCGAGCACGGCGGCGGCGCCGAAGCTGCCGACGATGATGGGGGCGCCGTGGTGGCGGAAGGAGGGCACGTGGTCGGACACGAGCTCGATGACGGCGATGCCGCAGAAGATGCCGATAAAGGCCCAGAGGATGAGGACAAAGTTGCCCGTGTTGTCGGGCTTCGTCTTGCGGTAGCCGAAGAAGCGGGACACGGGCGTCGGCAGGTGGCGCCAGGGGGGATGGGGGACAAAGGGGTTGATGAACCGATCAATGTCAAAGTTCCATTGTGAGGGCTGTATTCGGGTCATGGTAGCTCTGGTCAGAGAGGCACACGGCAGAGGAGCGAGGCCTTGAACAGAGGCCGGCGATGAAATCCGGGGTAAATGTGGAGGAGGGGCGGAAGACCCGATCGGCCGGTCTCAGCGGGGCAGCAAGAGGCAGGTACCGGACAGTGGACAGATAGGGCTGATGTGATGGATGATGTGATCTTTGGGGGTGGCACTATGGTAACGCCATGGTTCACAACCGCGAGATAACGAACGGCCCAAACGACGAGGCTTGTGTCAGGAGGGAGAATATGATTTCTTTAAACACCTATTGGGGTCCGCGGAGATTGGGAGACCAGGAAAAGACGGCACTATGGCGAATGCTCGTCGTGACAGAAAAGTCGTCATGGGTGACAAACAGAAACTCAAAGGGGCTTAGGAGCGTCAGTCAGGCGGCACGGCACCGGCACTGAAAGGGTGCGGCCGTGACTTCGGCCGGCCTGTGATTCGCTCGCCGTTAGCTAATGGAAACTCAAGTTGTAGGGGTCACTGGGTGCGATGCTGGGGGGGTCCCTTTCTTTGCGTGTTTCGCAGGCTGGGTGGTGTCATCCGTTGGGGGAAGCCGGCGAGAGGAGAAGCAGAGAGAGAGAGAGAGAGAGGGAGCTTGCTAAGCTGTTGGTGGAATTGGTGCTGCCGAGGGAGGGGATTCGGCTGTATGGATGTCGTGTTTGGGTGTTTGGCGTTTGCGTCTCGTCTTATTCCCAGACGCCATCGCATTGATGCTTCGACACTAGTCAGCTACTATAGTATGGTGGCCTTCGGTACGTGGCACGGGCTACGGCCAGCTTTCGGCATTCGGATTTCGGGTGGTGCTCGTTTGGTGTTGGCCAGGGAGAAATATTGCCCTCGCTACTGTCTTTGCTGTCTCGCCCAAGAAGGTTTGCCAATGCTCCCACAATAACACGGGCCCTCACCGACTCACCGATGCCAAGAGCCGACACAGGCTGGTCTCGTGCGCTACGTCATGGCTATATCACGTGATCCTATGTCTTCTCAGCTGAGTCACCATTTACCGCTATGTCAGTGTTCATCAGTGTCCATGTCAGTCGCACTCTCAGAGTGATCACGATGCACGATGCACATTGGCGGCGTTTTTCTTATGAAGAGGTGATTTAGGATAAATGCCAGAAATATGCCAGAGTCTCATGAACATGTATCAGCGAGATCCTACGTGGCCTTCCACCCGCACAGCAAACAGGCCAGCCGTCCGGTGCCACATCCCGATGTTCGTCCGAATCCGCCGTCAGCCCCCCGGAGCGCCACGGCTCGATCTCCGGCCATCTGCGCCACTTCGGCGGACCCACCTATACCGGCCTCGGGATGCCTCGGTGCTCACCTCCGTGCTTCGTGCTCACCTCCGTACTTCCTGCCCTCGTGCCTACTCCCTCTTGATGAGGTGGTCAAAGTAGTCCCCCAGAAAGTACGCCGAGCGCTTCGCATACCGCGTCTTCTCGGGGCTGTCGAAATCGATCCACGTGGCGCCGAAGCGGTCTGAGTACCCTGCAGCCCACTCCCGTGCTGAGAGGTTAGCAACATGGTCAACAAAACAGGGGATGGGGAAGACGTATAGTTGTCGGTAAAGGTCCACGCAAAGTACGACTTGATCACAACACCCTCCTGCGACGCCTTGGCCACCTCGGTCAGGTACTCGCGGAAAAAGTCGATGCGGAACGGATCCTCGAGCACGTCGTCCGGGCCCTTGGGCTTCCAGTCGTGCTCGCCCTGCGCCGTCGTCCCGTTCTCCGTGATGTAGATGGGCACGCCGTACCGCGCCCAGATCCAACGCAGCAGCTTACCCCAGCCCCACGGCGTCGTGCGCAGCCAGTACGTGTCGCTCGCCGGCCCGCGCGGCGTGCCCTCGCTGTTCTCGTCCGCCTGCTCGATGTTGCCCTTGTGGTCGTTGATGTCGGCCGGCCCGTCGCGGTGCTTGACGTAAAAGGCCGAGTACGAGTTCATGCCGTACACCTCGGAGCTGCCGAGCACGAGCCTGCTCTCCTCCTCGGTGAACCGCGGCAGCCGGTCGCCGAGCTGCGCGCGCATCGACGCCGGGTAGTCGCCCGTCTTGTACAGCGGGTCGGCGAACCAGGCAATCTCAAACTCGCGCGCCCGCTCCGCCGCCTCGACGTCGCGCGCATCGCCGGCGTCCCACGGCTCCGACCAGTTGCCGTGCAGTGTGATCATGACGGTGCCCTTCTGCGTCGGCTTGAACTCGCGCTTGTAGAGGTCGGCGGCGTACGCGTGCGCCACGAGCTCCGTGTGAGCCACGATGAACGGCTCCGTGCTCGAGTCGCCCTCGGCGTTGCGCTCGCGGAAGCTCGACCGCGCCGGCGCGTGCACGCCCGCCGCGTACCCGGCGAGCGTGTACACGCCGGGCTCGTTGAACGTGATCCAGTCCTTGACGCGGTCGCCGAAGCGCTCGAAGCACTGCCTCGCGTACCGCACAAAGTCGCGCGTGAACCGCGCCTTGTCGAGCATGCCGCCGTACCGGTCCTCGAGCGCCTGCGGCGTGTCCCAGTGGAACAGCGTCACGTACGGCGTGATGCCCTGCGCCAGCAGCCCGTTGATGAGCCGGTCGTAGTACGCCACGCCCGCCTCGTTGACGGCGTCGTCGGCGCCGCCCAGCGGGATGAGCCGCGCCCACGACAGCGAGAACCGGTACCCCCGCGCCCGGTACTTTTTCAGCAGCGCCACGTCCGTCGCGTACAGGTCGTACGACCGCACCGCGTCGTCGCCTGTGCTGCCGTCCTTGACCTTGCCGGCTGTGTGCGCGAACGTGTCCCAGATCGAGACGCCCTTGCCGTCCTTGTCCCACGCGCCCTCGACCTGCGCCGCCGCCGTCGCCCAGCCCCAGACAAAGTCGGCCGGCAGCGAGCCCGCGAGGGCGGGGTCAAACTCGAATTGCGATGCCATGGTCGTATCTCGTGTGTGTGCTCTCTCAGTCGCAGGTTCTCAGCTCTCTCTCTCTCTCTCTCTTTTGGAGAAACAGGGGCAATCCATCTGATTGAAGTAGAGCCGCCACGGCTGTCGGACAAGGGACGATCGTCAACAATGGACCCCACAACTATGTGAGGGGTCGTGGAAGAGCGGCGCCCGGGGCATGGCCGCTGCGGGATGTGCGCCGCTTGATTCGTGGGGGACGTTGAACAGTCGATGGCGGCAACCCGTCGGGTCTCGACGACCCTGGCTATCGTGCTCCTTGTCGGCCAACCGACGGCGCAAGGTTGTCGGCTCGACCTCTGCCGGGCCGTTTTCCGGGCCGTCGTTCCAATGTCCATGGGAACACGCAGGCGAGTGGGGTTTTTGACTTCTTGCTTGGCATCAAATATATGCACTCCACAGACGGTTGTGGGGTCGAATGGAGGAAGGACAATCTGTCTGTCTCCTGGGAGACTGACGAGCGGAGAAATGAATGATTCATTTGCTCTGGCCGCCTGTGCGCATGGAATCTAGAGATGGTAGAATGCGAGAAAGTCAGAATCGAGTACGCATACCCAAATCTGATCTACGTTTTCCGGCCTCCCACGACCTGGACAAGAGGTAGGACATTTCGTTCTCACAATACAAGTTGGTCTTCATGCAGCCATCAGTACAGATCCCAACATACGTAGATTAGCACGCCGATATCACAGGGCACAAAATGTATGACAGCGCAATCGCATCAATTCAAGAACGAAAAAGTCGTCCTGCTAAAGACCGCGCAAGACACACGACGAAAAATCACAACTAAACCTGGACACCCGAAGAGTACGCAACCGGCTGCTCGGCCTGCCTGTCGAGCTTGTACTGCGCGTGCTTGGCGTCGGCAATCTTGACCGACAGCTTGACGGGGTTGGCGCCGGGCGTCTCGAAGATGTGGTCAATCTCCTCGAGGTTGAGCTTGGACGTCTCGGGGAACCAGAAGTAGGCGGCGATAATCTGCAGCGTGTTGTACACAATGTAGACGGCCCAGATCTTGTACTTGAGCTTGTCGATACCTACGGCGATGCCGTAGTTGTGGACCGTGCTGGCGCAGTTCTGGAAGAGAACGTAGAGACCTGTGTTTTGCCAACGTCAGAAGAATGTAGCAGAGAGGGAAAGGGACGAGCAAGACATACCCATGCCCTTCGCACGCAGCGGCAGCGAGAGGAGCTCGACGGGGTACAAGTTGTGCATGGTGGCGATGAAGGACGCGCTGCAGACCTGGAAGCTGAACATCCAGAACAGCACGAGATACGCGAGGTGGCGGGGGTGGTCCTGCTCCTCAAATTGCCAGCTCGTAATGGTGACGCACGTCTGGGCGATGACGATGCTGATGAGGCCGGCGAAGATGAGGGTTCGTCGACGGAAAATGTCGATAATGTAGGCACCGAAAAGGGTGAAGACAAAGTATGTGGCCACCATACCGAGGTTGATGAGGAGCTGCGTCTGCTGGGTGTTGATATTGATCGTGTCAAGAGCGGGCGAAAGATAGAGACCGATGATGCCGCCGCCGTTCCAGGACTGGAAGATGGAGTACACAAGCAGAATAAAGGTACGGTACCCGGCGCCCTTGGTGAAGAAGACGCGGAAGTCCCAGACGGCGCGGAAACCGACGGCCGACGTCTCAATCGACTCGTCCATCTGGTACATCATGAGATCGACAAAGGACGAGTTGGGATCGCCCGAAGTCGTCATGTGGTCAGCGATGACCTTCCTCGCCTTCTCCTTTTGTCCGCTCATCACGAGGTAACGCGGAGACTCGGGGCAGAGGAAGAAGATGGTGCAGCACACAAAGGCGGGGAACAGAGCCTGGATGAAAAAGGCCGTTCGCCACTGCCAGTTGCTGTGCCAGTCGGATATGGCGGCCATGATGCCGATGATGGCCATGGAACCGACCTGGAAGCAGGCACCAAAGACGCCGACAATGCGACCACGCATGTGAGGGGGCGCGACTTCGGCGATGTACTGACTCGACGTGCAAAGTCTGTGAACTCTGGTGTCAGCTCGGGATGCGGTGCCGGGAAAGGAGTCTCTACTCACGCCGTGCCGAAACCAAGGACAAAACGGCCAAAGATGAGAACGCCCGTGTTGGGCGCCATGGCCTGGATGATGGCAGCTATGACTGTGAGGGCACAGCCGGCAAAGTTGACGGAGCGGCGACCCCACTTGTCGGCAAAGGAGAGGAACGGGGCACCAACGGTGGCTCCGATCGTCATGAGAGCGTTGATGATGCCGATGATGTGACCCGAGTTGCCGAACCCGTAGTACTCGTGCCACATGTCGTTGGAGTTGATACTGCTGATGACACCCCAGTCTATACCATAGCTGCGCAATTCACCGTCAGACAAGGGGTGCAAAGGCAAGGATCCAGCCAGCTACTGAGGACTTACCCAGCTTGGTTCATTCCCATGACGAGAAGGATCAGCACCATGCGGAAACCAGCCTTGGACCGCCAGGCAAAAGCCTCGCGAGACTTGTCGTTCAAGTGGTCCTCAGTAATACGGGTTGCGACTACGTCGACGACTTGAACGCCAGTCTTGTTGGCATCAGCCACGGCATCGTGGTAGACGTGGGAGCGTTCGACCTCGTTGCGAGGAGCCATGGTGGGCAACGTCAACCGTGGTTCAAGAGAAGGTAGTTGAAACAACGAGCTTCTGGTAGTTGGGAGGGCAGAGACTAGGACGGCAAAAGGCAAGAAACTCTGAAGGGGAGACAGGCCACAGCGTCTGCTATATAGTTTGAAGGATCATCCATCCTGCCCACACTCCATAGTCAGAAAAGCTTCGGGACCCTGTCATGCAGTGCAGACATGCCGAGCCAACTGCAATCTACACAATGCCTGCCATTCGAGACGCGGGATTGGGCTTCCGTGAGGGGAGCGGGGTCTGACTTTGCTCGCGAACTGTGCTCTCTCTCTCTCTCTCTCTCTCTCTCTCTCTCTCTCTCTAGCCAACCCTTTGCCTGGGCCAACCTACCTTACGTACTTCACGCAAGGCGGGCTGAGATACCCCAGCTTTGGCTCGGCTCCAACATGTCGAGCCGACGGGAATTGTCACCATGCGCATGGTACCAACCAACAAACCCATGTCGCTTTGCAGTGAATCCAGCTTCCACCCGACCTCACAAGTCTTCAGAGCGACAGGCCTAGGTCCCCTGGCGCATGGTATTCCTGCGGGGGTGGAGCGGCTTTCGATCACGATGATTCGCTGCGGATGTATCTCGCATGAGACCTAGTGGCATCCGGAGCGGCATCAAGACTGATTGGCGGCGAGCCTCTGCGGCCCGGGGACCCCACGAGCCATGGCCGAGCTAATGCCTCCATGGCTTTGGCGGGTCGTCTGGGGGAGTGGCCATTCAGCGCCCGTCGTTATAACCGGCCGGACAACGAGCATGTTCGACTGCTCGTCCATCTGGAGATGCAGCATCGAAAGCACCAAGCTCACCTGACTGTTGCATCGCTCCAAACCTAGACACAACTGATCGGTCGTCCTGCTGATCCCTGCTGCATCGAGAACCAGTCACCGTCCGTAGTTCACCAGAGGCGAGCCTCGATCACCAGACCAACCCAGATCCCAGTTCAACCAACCCCGCGCCAAAGTTCGACGTAGGAACAGGCAAAATTCCAGATCGACTCGAAAGCGCATATTGGCAGTCTCTGTCAGCTGTCACACCGGCTCCAGACTCGGGACCTCACCATACCTGTTGCCAGACAGAAAGGCTCGGCTCCAGCACCATGGACAACAGTGACCCGAATCTCACTCTTCACTATGATGCCCCTGCAGCCTCGTGGTCGGAGGCCCTGCCAGTCGGCAACGGCCGGTTGGGCGGCATGGTATATGGGCGAACGTTTACCGAGCTCCTTCAGCTGAACGAAGACTCGGTCTGGTACGGCGGGCCTCAGGACAGGACCCCCCGAGATGCGCGCCGCCACCTCGACACCCTGCGCCAGCTGATCCGAGATGAGGAGCACGCCGCCGCCGAGGCCCTCGTGCGCGAAGCCTTCTTCGCCACACCCGCGAGCATGCGGCACAGTGAGCCACTCGGGAACTGCACACTCGAATTCGGCCATGAGGCGCAGGACGTGACTGGCTACCGTCGGTCTCTTGACCTGGCCACTGCTCAAGCAACAGTCGAGTACCAGTGTAGAGGCGTCTCCTACCGACGGGAAACCATTGCAAGTTTTCCCGACAATGTCGTTGCCCTGCGCTTCTCTGCGTCGGAGCCTACAAGGTTCGTCGTAAGGCTCAACAGGGTTAGCGAGATTGAGTGGGAGACAAACGAATTTCTGGACAGCATACAGGCCGCCAACGGGCGCATTGTCCTCAATGCCACCCCTGGTGGCAAGAACAGCAATCCGCTCTCGCTCGTCCTGGGCATATCGTGCGACGCCAGTGATGAAGGAGGATCAATCGAAGCCGTTGGAAACGCCCTCGTGGTGAAGGCTTTCAGTTGCACTCTCGTCATTGCTGCTCACACGGCATTTCGAAATGCTGACCCCGAAGCTGCTGCGCGCCAAGATGTCGACAATGCTCTGAAGCAGAGCTGGCATGAACTCGTGCTGCGCCAGCGGACTGACTATGCCAGCCTCTTCCAACGGTTGAGTCTCCGCATGTGGCCCGCTGCGCATGACCTGCCGACGAATGAACGAATCGAAAAGAATCGGGATCCGGGACTTGTCGCTCTGTACTACAATTATGGGCGATATCTCCTCATCTCATCCAGTAGAGATTCGGACAAGGCGTTGCCAGCGACCTTGCAGGGCATCTGGAACCCATCGTTTGCACCACCCTGGGGATGCAAGTACACGATCAACATTAACCTGCAGATGAATTACTGGCTGGCAGCGCCTGGCAACCTTGTCGAGTGCGCGCTGCCCATGCTGGGCCTGGTCGAGAGAATGGCCGTCAGAGGCGCCAAGACGGCGAGGACAATGTACGACTGCGGCGGATGGTGTGCGCATCACAACACCGATATCTGGGCAGACACCGACCCGCAGGACCGCTGGATGCCCTCCACCATCTGGCCCCTCGGAGGCGTCTGGCTCTGCATCGACGTGTTGGAGATGTTGCTGTATCACTATGACCGGAAATTGCACGAACGAGCGGCGGTTCTGCTGGAAGGTTGCATCGTCTTCCTGTTAGACTTCTTGATCCCGTCAGCTTGCGGGACGTTTCTTGTGACCAATCCGTCGCTCTCGCCAGAAAACACATTTGTATCCAAGTCGGGTGACACAGGCATACTCTGCGAGGGTTCAGCCATTGACACGACCATCGTCCGTATTGCTTTTGAGAAATTTCTTTGGAGCACTGCCATTCTTGAAAAGGGCAATCCACTAGTGCCCAAGGTCCGAGATGCCATGGCCAGGCTGCCTGATCTGACGATCAACAACGACGGTCTCATTCAAGAATGGGGTCTCAAGGACTACAAGGAGCACGAGCCAGGTCATCGACATGTCTCTCATCTCTTCGGACTTTACCCAGGCGAGAGCATCAGCCCCGTCACTTCACCGAAGCTCGCAGCTGCGGCGAAGAACGTCCTCGATAGGAGAGCGGCGCACGGCGGCGGTCACACCGGCTGGAGCAGGGCCTGGCTGCTGAACCTGCATGCTCGACTGCACGACGCCGACGGATGTGGCGTTCATATGGACAGCTTGTTGAAGAGTTCCACGTTGCCTAACATGCTGGATAATCATCCTCCGTTTCAGATTGATGGAAACTTTGGCGGAGCGGCGGGCATTTTGGAGTGTATAGTGCAATCGCGGATCGTCTGGGGAGCATCGCGGCCGGACTGCATAGAGATACGCTTGCTGCCGGCCTGCCCAGATGCGTGGTCGGCTGGCGAGCTGAGGGGCGTGCGGGTCAAAGGCGGATGGTTGGTGAGTCTGGCCTGGAAAGCTGGTCGAATCGAGGAGCCCATTGAGCTTGAGGCAACCGACCTAGAATGCCCTGAAGTTCGTGTCTTCTTCCCTGGTGGTTCAGCAGTTGTGGTGCGGGCTACCGGGCCAGGAAAACAAAGTGTACGACAGCCATGAGGGAGAGAATACAATTCAGAGCTAGGTAGAACACGATGATTTCATCCTCACGACAAGACCGACAAATGATGTTGTTGGTCGCCCACCTCACAAGGCCGTTTATTCATGGGCTTTCACGAAGCTTCAGCCACAACACAGCCTCGCTAGTGAATTCAAGCCACCCCCGCCGCCCATGCCCCGCTATCTCCCAGTGGCAGCTGCCCCCCAGCGCTTGTCGCCTGGCCGTTGCGTCGATCCGCCAGCTTTTGTCGCCCCAAGCCAAGCTTGTGAACGGATGAAGTCATCGCAAACACCACATTTCGCGAGGCTGACTTTTGCGACTGCCACCAACACGTTTATCCGACCATAATTCATCGCATACCTTTACTGGCCAAGCCACACACTCTCGCGCAAGCAGCGCCCTCTTGGCAATCCCTTCAGCCAACATGACAACGTACGGATCATCGACTCGTGGACTACCTTCCCCCTCCGAGTTCACTGTGTGTAGGCTAACGCGCATAATCACAGCATTTCCAACATTCTCTCCTTGCCGTTTCGCAAATCGAATCACATGTCTTTGTCGACCGCCATCCGACAGTACATCAACACGAAATATGACCAGCATCCAGACATGTTCCGTCAAGACCTGGAGACGATAGACAGCCTCCGTCGCAATGCTGTCAACGTGCGCGACCCGCACCCGAGCGGCATCAAGGAGCTTCAGACATATGCGGGACAGCTCATGTGGATTGGCGGAAAGTTTCCGATCGATGTAAGAACGCCGCAAGCTCTTCAAGTCGTCCAAAGAAAGTATAGAGCAGGAAAGCTGATCGTAGACACCGTGTTTCTCTGCAGATCGGCGCCGAATTCACATGGTACCCTGCCCTGGGTTACAACACCGAGAGACCAGTCGTGCGCAACAATCTCAAATACGAGCTCCTGAATATCCTCTACAACCTCGCCGCCCTCTACTCTCAACTCGCCGTCGCGCAGACCAACAGCGGCCCCGAAGGCGTCAAGAAGGCCGTGCCGTACTTCAACCTGGCCGCGGGCGTCCTGTCGTACATGCAGAAAGAGGTCCTGCCCGAGCTGCGTATGTCGGATCCGCCCGAGGACATGGACACACATACGCTCGAGGCGCTGATTCAGCTTCTTCTGGCGCAGAGCCAGGAGTGCTTCTGGAAAAAGGCCGTCATGGATGGGACGTACAAAGATGCCATCATCGCGAGGCTGGCGGCACGCGTTTCGGATCTCTACAGCACGGCGGGGGATGCGGCCATGAAGAGCGAGGCGATCAGCTCGTCGTGGATTCACCACATGAGCGCGAAGCACCACCACTTTGCAGGCGCGGCGCAGTACCGTGCTGCATGCGATTGCTTGGAAAAGAAGAAGTACGGCGAGGAGGTGGCCCGGCTGACAGACGCCGTGCAATGCGTCAACGAGGGGTTGAAAGAGGCACGCGGTGGTTATGTCAGCAAGACGATCATCGAGGACCTGAACGGACTGAAGAGGAAAGTCGAAGAGGACCTGAAGCGAGCGGAGAAGGACAATGATTTGATCTACATGGGTACGTCATGGCCCTCGTCTGACGGAAGCCGTCAACTAATCGAAAGCAGACCCCGTTCCGCCCAAACCAGAATTAAAGCTCCTCGACCGGGCTGACATGGCCAAGATCACGGTTCCCCCTCAGGTTGCCAACCCCTTCGACTACTTTGGCGACCAGGCCGAGTTTGGTCCCGCGTTGTTCTCCAAGCTTGTCCCCTTCGCCGTTCACGCCGCTATTACTATCTACGAGCAGCGCCGCGATCGTCTCGTGAACCAGAGCATAATCCAGAACCTGGAGGATCTCACGGAAAGGCTGCACACGATGCTGAGCTCCATCAACCTTCCGGGCTCCCTACAGGCTCTGGAGAAGCCACTTGGCTTGCCGCCAAGTCTGGTACAGCACGCCGAAGAAATCCGACAAGCCGACGCGATAGGTCGCATTCAACGGGCGTTTTCTGATATCGACAAACTGCGATCAGCAGACATTGCTGTCTTTGATGAAGGCAAGTCCATGCTGGCTGCGGAGGAAGAGGAGGATGCTCGTCGACGGGCCAAATTTGGCACAGACCGATGGACAAGGCCAGACAGCCGCAGCGACCCTCGCGGCGCGCAGCTCTGGGCCCAAGTGGCCGAGATTGACGGCTACTTTGCGAGCAGCACCAGCAGCGACGAGGTTGTGCGCGACAAGTTCGGACAAGCACAGGACCTCCTTGAGCTCCTGTCCGCACCAGATCGCGTTCTCATGGATTACGTCCCTTCGAGCCGACGCATGGACATCGCCGAGCCCCTGAAGCCGGTCATAGGACGGCTGCGCGGTGCGTACAACGACGTCCTGCGTCTGGAGTCTCGTCGCAGGAAAAAGGTGGAGGCCCTGCGCGACAAGTGTCGCAACGACGACATCAAGCCGGAGATCCTCAAGGAAGCGGCGCGACTCGAAAGGACGTACCCCACCACGGCGATTGCGCCGGCGCACTTTGAAGACTTCTTCGAGCGACGACTGGACAAACTCTACGAGCCAGAACTCGAAGGCGTCGAGAAGGAGGACGCTGAGCAGGAACGCATGATGACCGAGATTGAGCGCGTCAACCGCGAGTTCGAGAGCCAGCGAAAGAGCAGCATCGGCGGGAACCGCGAGCGTGAGCAAGCCCTCCAGCGACTCGACAACGCGTATTACAAGTACAAGGAGATTGTCAACCACCTCGATGTCGGGCGCAAGTTCTACAATGACCTCAGCAAGGTTGTCGGGCAGAACTTCCGGGACCCGGTCAAAGTATGGGTGTCGGAGCGGCGCATCGACGCCAAGAGCCTCGAGGAGTACGTCGCCTCGGTCGCACTTGGGGAACGAGGGAGCTAACCATGCGTTCAGGGAACTCAGCATGCCGCCGCTCGGCTCGCTCAGCATGAACAGAACACCCGTTGCTTCGCCGCCCGTGTCGAGCTACCAGGCCGAGCAGCAGCAGCACGCAAACTCGTACTTTGGCTCGAATGCTGGTCCCGCTGCCAATACGCACGCGCAACGGCCGCACCAGCAGGTCCACAGCCCGCCCGCCGAAGCACATGTGCAGTCCTGGGCAGGCTCTACTGTCGAGCCGCAGCAGCCGCAACCCGTGCCGCCCGTGTCGAACATGTGGACGCCGGACATGGGTATCCGATTTGGAGGGCCCGCCGGCGGACATGGCGCGGCTGCGCCGGCCGCCCATCCGCCGGGACCAAGGCAGGCCTCGGGCGGGACGTGGGATCCCAACTCGGGCATTCGTTTCGGCTAGGAGCTGAATCGCTTGCCGAGGACAAGGCATTGAGCTGATTGTGCGCGCGGCGATGCAAGAAGGCAGCAAGCGAGCATGGAATCCATGATGAAATCCATGATGAAATCCATGATGAAATCCACGATGAAATCCACGATAAAATCCACGATAAAATCCATGATGGAAGAACTACACTATGTGCATCCACGCTTTGGTCTCGGTTGGATACTCGTCACCTGCGCATCGTGATCCTCACCACAACAGCCCACCCGTTCATGCTCTCCCAGATGCCCAATTCGTTCTCCCTCCGAAACGAGACCTCCTCCGCCGTGACCTTCATCTCGCCCCCCGCGCGGCCCCCCAGCGTCGGCCCCCTCCTCCCATCAGGCCTCAGCAGCGCCGCCAGCCTCATGGCCAGCGCCTCGTCCCTCCACCACCACCAGCCCTTCTTCGCCGCCGCCGCCGCCCCGCCGTCGCCGCCGCCATCCTCCCATCGCCCCCACTCGTCAAACTCGCGCGCCGAAGCCGACGCGACGGCCGGCGGCGCGTCCCCGTCGTCGGACGACGAATCACCGACAACGCCCTTGCCGTCCCGCACGCGCACCGTCTGCCAGAGCTCGTCGGGCGCGTCGGCCTTCTCGCTCGGGTGCCACGACGGCGGGACGGCGGCGGCGGGCACGAGGGTCAACTGGCCGGCGCGGTGCGGTGGGGCGCCGCGACGGGGCGCCGCGTGCAGGGCGGCGAGGTGGGCTTCGACGTCGGGGAGGAGGAGGGTGGTGAGGTCTCGTTCGTGCGTGTCGATGGCGGGGTGGCGGGTGCGGAGGCGGGCGGCTAGGGTGGCGAGGTGCGCTGAGACGGTTGCTGCTGGAGATGGGGAGGACGAGGAAGGAGACGACGACGACGATGGGGACGAGAAGATGGCCTCGCTGTAGGAGGGGGGAGCGTCTGGGTTGCGTTTGGACATGGTTTGCTTGTGGTGCGGCTGCCGGGGCGGAGACGTGGTGGGAGAGCCTTGCTCGGATTCACACTGGTGTAGGTGTAGATTGGGGCCAGGGTCAGCCTATGCGTTTGTGCTCCCATGCGGTTGTGTGATTTGAGGAATGGAGCCGGACGAGTCGACAAAGTGAGGAGAGAAAGGATGGAGCCGGGAAGTCAGGCGTTCGTCCAGTGCGATGATGACAGCGGTCACAGGTATCGCCAAGTCTGTGGGGGCGGGCTTCTCGGACGTCTTGCAGGCCTCAAATTCAGTGGATTGGTCCCTTGAGGAACGACCTCAGCGAGCGGCACGTTGGGAGCCATCATGCCAGGGAGGCTGAGGAGGCTGAGGAGGCTGAGGAGCCTCACTTGACAAGCCATGACAGTAATATTCCTCCGACACCTGAACTCGTGACCACGTCGGAGGGGCCAGGACGTAGGTAGGCTCGGTGCGGTAGGTACAGTGCAGGTCACTGAAGGAACCCACTCGGCTTGTTGAGGGTAGGTAGGTACCTAGGTACCTACTACAGGCACTTGTGCAAACCAACAACCTCACCTCCTGACCTGCCAACCTGGCTGGATTCGCCGTGTTCTTCGATGCCTGCGGGAGACCTTCCACGACCCCCTGCCTGTGATTCCCTGGTCTGTGGTGCGTTCATTTCGTGGCCTGTTGGCCAGTTGGCGATGGCCTGGGCTGTTGTGCTTGCCTGTAGTGGCTGATTCAGTGAGAATCACTTTGCAGCGCGATGCAGTGAGGATCGGCTAATTATGGGAGAAACATGACCGACATCCAAGCCAGTGATGCAGATGCAGGGCAGATAGGATGGCACCCGGTGGTCCGATTGTTCTATCGATCGAAGTCTGTACCATTCCATGCCGAAATTCAGTTCACGACGAGGACTGTCTTCCAACGATCTACATTGCATTCTCGAGCTTGACCATCATGTAGAACAGCTGTGAAAAGACAGGTACGGGATGCCGTTTGGTCGAGCAAGAACCCCCCCCCAATATCGATATTCGCTTCCGTGGATCCTCTGACGTAGCCCTGCCACCTTCATCTCACCCTTTTTAAGTGATGTGCCCAAGGCGTACTATCCACGGAACGCCTATGAGCCTCATGTTCTGCCGCCAGGTGTCGCCGAAGACAGTGCAAGGCTTTGGGTACCGGTTTCTGTTGTCATACCAAACCCCGGCCACTTGAAAAAGGGGCGATGAGGCCATAGCTGCATTTTTTTTTCTCTCATGTACCGTATGTGCTTGCATTGTTCGAGATGTGGAAGTTATGGGCCATTTGTCGACGGGACGGCACGAACTTGGATGGCGTCGTATGTGCCAGCAATGATGACCTCCACCACTAACCGAACGTGTCACCAGGCTCACCCATGTTCACATCAGGTACATGGCTCTTGCAGCTCACGACCTACAACCACCGCACCGTTCACAACAACAAGCACGTCCGAAGCCCACGCAACTCGACATCCTTGCGACCAGCATCATTCACGCCCGTCGGAAACCACAACCATGTCCCGCCAATCCGAACAAGCCCAAGCCTTTGCCTACGCCGTCTACGCCGCCGTCCAGGAGATCCCCCGCGGCAAGGTAACCTCCTACGGCCACATCGCCGCCCTCATCGGCACCCGTACGTATTCCACCCGCCCTGCGCCCCCCCCTTGTGCATGGTCCTGGCGCTGACGCTTCCCCCGTGCCGCCCGCCCAAAGCCGAACGCCCACGTCAGGTCGGCACCGCCCTGCGTCACCTGCCCGCCGCCGCCCTGCCCTTCCACGCCGCCAACGTCCCCTGGCAGCGCGTCATCTCCGCCCGCGGCCTCATCTCCCCGCGCGGCGGCGGCGACGGCGGCGACGGCACCGCCGCCCAGGCCGAGGCCCTGCGCGCCGAGGGCGTGGACGTGCAGCGTCGCGGCCTCGGCGAGCTGTGCGTCGACCTGGACGTCTATGGATGGTTTCCGGAGGATCTGCCCTCGCAGCTGGAAGATGAGGGGGGCGAGGACGAGGAGCAGGCGGCTCCAATCGGCAGGCTGGCCGCAGCATGACATGTCCTGGAGATTGTGGAATGCAAAGCACAGCGCGTCTGAGAAGTGGTTCGCAAAGCATCCTATGCCCTACCCAGTCATTCATTGAGGTCACTCACGTTTTGTCACTTGGAGTACTCCTGTCATGGTCTCGGAATTGCCTGCATTCGTTTCTTTCCAAGACACAGTGGTATCTATCTCACTCGCGGGTGGCCGCTCGACAGCAATACAGGCAAACGTCCCCTCCCCACGACAGCTTGGTAGCCCATCCCCGCTTCCAATCTAGAGATTCATTTCGCTCAGAAACACAAAAGGAGAAGAAGACGAAGAAAAAGAAGAACGAAACACCCATCTCGTTTCTCGTTGCCGTCGTTGTTGCTATGATGAAGCGCACACGCCGCTGCTAAGTACGGGGACCAGCACTGAACGGAGAATCGTGAAATTAAGACGGCTGCCAAGTCATTTGAAAAGAACATCGTCGAGAAGGGGTAAACGAATAAAAGCAGTCCATCCTCCGAAGATCATAACTCCAACCCGCACCTCGGCAGACAGGCTCATTCGCGGCTTCGAGCCAGAGGGGGAAATGTACAGATGTGTACAAGCACCACGTCGTGACGGGGGGCTGGTACGCGGGAAGGGGAATTTGGAGTGAAAGAACCAAACAGGAAACTCCAAACATATGGGATATCAAAAAGACAAGGTCATGAACGGGGCGTCAGAAACAACCTCCTCCCCATCAGAAGGGAGACCAAGAGTCGCGGTGCCACGTCTCGTCCCCACGGCATACCCCCCCAACTAGCATCCACAACCACGCGCCTAGAAGCAGTTGAGCGAGCCCTTCTTCTTCTTTTGCTTGTTGATCGCGTTCATGCGGTCCTCGAGGTGCGCACGCGCTGCCTCGGCCGCTTGTCGCTTCTTGCGCTCCTCCTCAACCGCCTGCAAGCTCCACCGGTTGTCGGACTGCGGCGTAGGAGCGGGACGGTCCTTGAGCTCCTTGAGCTCGCCCTCAAGCTGCTGGCACCGCTTGCGCCAGGCATCGCAGTCCGCCTTGACCTTGTTCGACTGCTTCTCGAGGTCGGTAAGAGCTTCCTCGAGCGTCTGGGTGAGCTGCTTCTCGGCGTCGAGGTGCTTCTCGATCGTCTGGATGCGAGCCTCTTGATCTTGTTGGATCTGGTTGAGAGATCCCATGTGGTCCTTGCTGCCTGGGCGTCCACCAGTCGGCGTGTTGGGCACTGTCGGGCTGGTTTGGGCGTTGGAACCGGGCAGAGGAGGGAGAGGGATTGCTGGAGGTGGAGATGGCAGAGATGCGACGGAAGCACTCTTGCGGAGGTTGCTGTTCGTGAGGGAATTGGCCCTCTGGGGTTGCTGGCCGGAGGCCGTGGCAACCTCATCGTATTTGTTCTACAGCACTTGTCAGCATGGTTTCTTTCTTCGTGTGCATCGTGAAATTAGTCTCACCTGGAGAGCATGGTATTCGGCGCGGAGACGGTCCATCTCTGATTCGATCCTGGTCTTTGCGGCCGTGGCTTCCTCAAGCTGGGCTTGACGTTCGGTTTGCAAGACTGAGAGGCGGTTGTTGGTGATCTGAGCCTGATCAAAGTTGGACTGAAGTTGGTCTTCCAGCTCCTCGACAAGACGCGAGTTCTTGTTGTTCCTCGAGTCAAGGTCGGTCATCTTCTTACGCAGGGCAGACATCTGCTCGGTAACAGAGCCCTGGATGCTCATAGTCTCACCCTTGGCAGTGAGAAGATCAGACAGTGTTGCCTTGACTTGCTCCAGATCGCGCACGGCGCTTTCGTTGATGGCTGTCAATTCGGAAACTTTTCGCTCCAAGTCTCCCGTCTTCTTTTGCTCCTCCACAAGCGCCTTTTGATCAGCAATTAGATCGTCGATGCGTTCTGTGATCTTCTCGACACTGACGTCGAGGCCAAGAGCAAACGCGACTTGGGTGGCAACCTTCATGAGATCCTCACGGGCGTCGTCAAGCTCGCACTCCAGAACCCGGATGTTCTCCGCTTGCTCGCTCATAAGCACAGCCACCTGCTCCTCGTAGCCCTTCTGCTCGACCTGCTTCAATTCCTCGAGATCTCTGGCATGGTTGTCCTTGAGAAGCTGCATGCCATCTTGGTGGGTCTTCAATGCTTGCTCGTGCGCGGCAATCTGCTTCTCGAGGTTTTCCATGAGCTGCTTGTGGGTGTTTGACTGACTCTCGTGCAGATCACGCGTCTTGATGGCCTCTTCCAGCTCGACCTTGGTAGCTGAATGGGCCGTCTCAAGATCTGCGACCTTGATGGCATTGGTGCTGATGATCGACTTGTACTCGTCAACCTCGTCGCGAAGACTCTTGAGCATGCTTTGGTGCTTTTCGTCTGCCTCCAGCGTTTCGTCGTCACTCGCTGCATCCGTTCGTGCGGGAGCCTTGGAATTGATGGTCGCGATTTGGCTCTCCAAATCTTCAATCGTCTTCTTCATCTGTGCTTCAGTCTGTTGCATCGCATCCAAGGCAGTCTTGTGCTTCGTCTCCCAGTTGCTCAGCTCTAGCTGGAGGCTCTTGAGCTTGCGCTCATTGTCCGTAGAGAGGTGTTGCTGTCGGGACGAGTCTCTCTCAATGTCGTCTTCTGCGGCTTCTAGGGTTGTCTCGGCCTCCGATGCTTCAGAGACAGTCGGAGCTGATGTCGCAGGAGCGTCTTTGACAGCGGCGCGAAGTGCTTCAATTTCGGCATGCAGCTCCCTCTCGCTAGCACTGTGCGCCTCCCTCATCTCCTTCATCTGCGATTCGTTCCTCTCCAACTGATTTTTGAGCGTGGACACAACAGACATGTCCATGGGCGAGGCCTTCAAACTGGACCGCTCTCGCGTCAGGCCGGAGATGATGGTCATCTTAGTCTCCATCTCCCTCTTTGCCGCGGTAACCCCAGCTTCCAGCTCTTGAATCCTTTCTGACCGAGCATGCAATTCGTGCATGGCAGAGTTGAGGTTCAGCTCAAAGTTCTGCATGACATCCGGCTGGGATTCAAAGTTTTCTGTTGCAATGTTTCGGAGCGAGGCGAATGAGCGGTGGGCGCGATCGATGATCATGACGTTCTGGCTCGACTTGCGGCGAATGACGGGATGGCTGGCCCTCGGGGAGGTAGCCTCGGCAGCCTTGGCCTGGGCGACTTCTGTCTTGAGCTCCTCGACCATGTCTAGAGCATCTTGATGTTTCTGCTCAAGTTGCGCGTACTTGTCAGCCAACTCCTTCTCTGCAGCCTCCTTCTCCGCAGACAAGGACTTCAGCCGGGCCAGTTCTGTATTCAGAAGATCCTGTTGTGTGGAGTCGGTAGCAGTCATCTTTGGTTCGATGTCGCTCTGGATGCTCGTCGTCTCGGCATGGTCCTCGACCTGGATATCGGACCTTTCCGGCACCGGCTCTGTCTCAGTATCCGGCAGGAATTCGGACTGGGGCTTCAGAGTGGCCGTCTCAGCGTCGAGGTCAGAGGTATCGACTGTTGTCGGGGAATCCATGGCCGAGGAAAGCTCTGAGGACAGAGAGCGCGAAGATGCGTACTGCCTGTGCTCTTTGTGGTCGTTGGATCGCGCATCGGACGTGAAGGATGATGGTCTGGTCTCCGTTGGTGACACAACCGACAGAACTGAGTCGCGGACATTGCGGTGGGGGTGTCGTGATTCGTCGACAGTATCCTGCAGCTCCCTGAGAGCGCGGAGAGTCTCCTCGTAGCGGGAGTGTAGAAGACTGTAGTCGTTGACGGTGCTTTCATGTTCCACGCGAAGATCAAAGAGCTCTTGTGTTACATTTTCAAGCTTGTCCGCCACAAACTTGGTCTGAGCAGGGCTGGGTGGTGAGTAGTCGTCATACTCCGCTTTGAGGCCGTCGTGCTCAGCACGAGATGTTTCCTCTTCGGAGAGGTCCTGGGCATTCCTGATCGTCTTGGCGTCAACGTTGTCGTCAACCTGGCCCTCCTCCTCTTCGATCTCGGGGATGGCGTCTTGGTGGCTGACACGACTAACGTGGGATTGGCTCCGCGAGTGATCGGTGAACTGGCGACGATGTCCGACACCGTTCGCAGTTTCTGCCTGAGGCTCGGGCACCTTGTTGTCGCTCTGGATGTGATCTAGCTCATACAGAAGAGAATCGAGCTTTCCTAGGCTTCGCTGGCGCTCGATGACCTGTTCCAGGCGATCGATCTCACGTTGCATCAGCTCCGCATCTTGGTCCGCCTCGGCCAGGCGCTCCTCCAACGTTGAGATGTAGTCTTCGCAGGAGGCTTCATTCTCGCGGACGCGCGAGATTTCCTTTCGCAGCTCGGTGATGATCGTTGCGTTCTTCTCCTCGCCCGAGGTGTGGCCGTCAAGTTTGGCCTCCAGGTCGTGCAGGTAGTTTTCGGTGCTGGCCTCTCGATCCATCAGCTTCTGGAGCCGGGCCTGGAGCTGGGTGTTGATCGTCTCGACGTAAGCGCACTTGGTCTCCTTTTCCAACAAGTTCGTCTCCGTGCTCGACAGGGTGCCGCGGGTGCTCGACAGTGATTGCTCGAGGGATTGGATCGTCTTTTCGTACTCGAGTACAACCTGCTCGACAGCTTGGGCGAAGGAGTTGGAGCGATTCAGGCGTTCCGTGGCACTGTCCCCAAGCGCGTCGTCATTCTCCTCATTGTCCGCCTGCTCAGCGTCCCTAGCCTTGGCCATCTCAGCGATAAGCTTCGCGTGTCGCTGACTCAAGGTAGTGTAGGTCTCTTGGACGTCCAGCAATTGGTTCTGGAGTTCCGTCTCCCGCTCATTCTGCCGCTCGGACCTCCCACCTTCAGTAGCGGGTGTGCGCCGGTCGCCGCCACCCCGCTCAGCATTGCGGATTTGGTCGCGCAGGAAGGTGACCTCTGCCTTGAGCCTGTCAATGATGGCCTGCTTGTCGCCCTCCTCCACCTGTTGGATGCGTGGTTTGCTCTGGATGGCTCGGGCCCTCTGCGCGTACTGGACTGTGTTTAGCGTCTCGCTGAGGTGAAATTCGGCCGGGGTGACGCAGGCAA